GCGATCACAGGGAATATGACTCTTTCTAACAGCTAAATTCATTATTCCAGTCCAATATCAAATGTCCCAGAGCGACATTTTGTATAAGGTCCCATACTGAAACAACGAAAAAGTCCAATTGGAGCCGTATAGTTAAAACTACCTTTTAGGCTTTGAGGGAAAAATCTTTAAATAAATACTGCCCACCGATGTCCTTCAAAATCTCGACAACTGCTGAGCAGGCATGTACCCAAAAGTCCAGTGTGATGTTAAGTCCACAAACAATGATCTCCAACCTAGGCACCGGAGAACCGCTGCGTCTCGTAACACGACCTGAACCCGGAGCAGCGCGGCGTGCACTACCCGCACTCCACAACTACGGAGCGGCTTGACAGCATCCTTCAACCGCTGCATGCACCTTGTAGTGAAGCGCCGTGCCTTAAGTCCTTTCAGTAGGTTCCGTTCCTAATGTGTGCGTCCCTCCGTTTACCGAGTCTTGTCTGGTGTGGGCTGAGTGCACTTGGGAGCGATTCACAAATACACTCACACTCGTCTCTGCCGCTTCGCGCTGTGTGAGATCAACGCGTCCAAAGGAGCCAGCAACAAGTTTTGCATTTCTGCAGCCGCTTCCATCCATGAGGTCTCAGCCAATCAGAACTGCCAAAGAAAGCTTCGAGGGCGGGACAAATGCTTTTAAGGTGGTCCGCGGAGTGAATGAGATTGTAAACGCTTGTGTGTAAATCAGATCTTAAAATGGCTTTCACTAAAATGGAATGGTTTGACCAAAGCAAATAGCGCTGTGTTTTCACATGAAAATCCATCATTAGACTTGAACTGGATGCGGTTTATTGTGCCACCGAACTGCCATTACAGTGCTCCTCACCTATGAACAAACCTTTTTAAGCCCTTACATCCATTGACCCATTCAGTTACCAGCACTTCAATGGACCTGTATCATCTCCATTGCAACATGTTTTCAACAATAACTATAACTTGATGGAAAACAGATAGCCTAGTTAGCCTACACCAACAACAAACTGTAGGTCTAGTTGAATGACTTGAAGGGCAACCAGTTGGGTGTATAACTAGACATAATAATTTCAGATGAATTGGTACGCCTATTTATCACCATGTGCTCATGTCACACGCTGGATATTAAATATTTTCTCATGTGTGAGCAATTGCCGATAACTGTCACGGCTTTTATTCTGAAATCATACCAGCATCTATGCTGAACAATGAAACAGTCCAACACTTGCCTCAGCAGATTGATTTATAGCAGGCGCTAACTGAGAAAGGAAGACATATCAGAAAATGTAGCCTAAATATCTGAGCTGATATTGATGTGGGGAGGGATAAAGGTACGCCTATAAATTAGACTTCTATCATAAAGAAAGTCGCTCAAACTTCCTCCTTAAAAGACCATCTGAACTAAATCATGTGGATAATATTGGGCTCCGGTTTCGATAATCAATAGCATTCTCTCAGTATTATAGTCTGTAAATTAGAGCATTTTAGCAAGGCTAAATTAGGATAATTTATTTCATAGTTTAATTAGCTGTATAGGCCTACAATAGCCGAGGTTATCTGTGAGGTTAAGTGGTAGGCCTACAATAACCTAAGATAAGACATACAATTATTGCAAATAGCCAAATGTCTTCATGTTCATGTGAGTTTGAGACAAAAGCCCCACTATAAGAAAGTGTGTGGCCCCGTTTATATTTTAATAAGACAAATAACCTACTTTCTGATATATTTTAATTGCCATAGTTTTACATAGGCACATGTCTTTAATGTTATGTAATTCAGAGTGTGTCTTTATGTTGTAACTCAGGCATCTGCCTTTCTCTCTGTCTTTTAGTGTATTTATTTAGTCAGTTGTGAAATTTTGGGATACCTCCCCCAAGATTAAAAGAACTGTAATTATTTGAAATAAAGGGGACATGTGGGAATACTGAACAAAATGTGGATATTTTCTTCGGTGAAAGGAGAACACCATATTATCCTTTTCCGACATTGTGGACAGTGAGCAGTTAGAGAATTTGGTGTCAGACAGCTCTGCACCTTTGGGGGGAACCGAGAGGACTTTTATCAAACAGACACAGTGCCACCTAGCGGCTGGCGTCAGAGGGAGCGATTTTTAATGTGTTAAAGCAGTGTATTGTTTTAGTTTGAAAAATTAGAATCAATTGTCCAGTCCCACTGAACCCCGTTATTTTAAGGGAATTCAGTGAAAGGCAAGCAACATTAGGTTATTATGTTAGCTTTTCTTCTCAAACAAAATGGGTAGGAATGTCTATATGTCTCATAAGAGATTTTCTTTGCAAATTTGCAAATTAGATATTCTACACTACTCGGCTTCTTTTACTTTGCTTTGTAGTTTTGTCAATGTTTCAGATAGTGGGTGGAGTACAAACAATGCTAATTTTAGCTATAATATGTGTAAAGAACTAACCATCTCTGTATGGCACATACTGCTGGCTAACAGAGGCAAGCTTTATGTCCAGCCCTGCACCTCGAGGAGAGACCCATCAGGGCTAAGGCTGGAGACAGGTCAGGACAAGGCACTGAAAGGTGCTGGGAAGGAGTATGTGTGTATATTTGGAATTTTGGGGGTGTGGATATGAAATCATCGCAGCTGAGAGGACAGCAGCGAGGAGCGAGGAGACAGGGATAGCAGGTGGTTGTGTTTTGAAGGAGACATGGTGTAAAGTACCTGTCTTCTAGAGAAGGAAGGAGAAGCATGTTGAGTGGTTCTGAAGGCCGCTGTGCTTGTGTGGTGTGTTGTTAAAAAGAAATACACTTTTTCTCCGTATCACAATGCTGGAGGACTGCCTTCATTCCTGAGAGCAAGCTGGATGCAGCATTGTCAGAGTTTTACCCAGACAAACACAAAAGTGTGTGCATATCAGACTGTTATCAGACTGTTTTAGCCATGGCTGCCATCACCGCTATATGAAGCGTCTTAAAGTTACCAGGATTCATGTTCATTTCTCAACTGAAAAAGGCTCATTGTATAACAAAACCCCAATTAACAACACTAGAAACAAGTATTCTGCAGCACGGGGTGAAAAATCAAGAAATTGTTCTGACTGTTATACTAATACCCCTGTGATACAGTTCCTGCTAGCTCTGTCTACAGTCTTCTCAAAGGGAGACAGACAAGTTAAGTATGACAAACCGATGGCATGGTCTCTTTCCCCCTGAGTCCCCAGTGATGATAAATGCAGCTCAGAGCTGCTGCTGAGGCGACTTCATGACAATGGACAGTCTACAGTCTTTCAAGCACTGTCACAATACCACTCGTCTCTGTAGTGATTTAGTACTCAATTTGTCTCAATATTTTACTCAATAGGACAAGATAGCAGAAGTGGGTGCCCTTCTCTGTCCTTAAGTCATAGTGTTAAGGTTTTCCTGATATAGACATATATTACCATGGGGGTTGCCTGAAAAAGACAGTTCCTTCCCTTGTTGGGGGGGGGGCAGCGTCCTGCACAGTTCGAGCAGTGCAGAGCCTCTGTGTGTCCTCTATGGGCCTGTCACTCAGCTGAGCCATCACAACTCCCTGGGTCAGGGTGGGTTAAGCAGCATCTGTCATCCAGAGAAGCACCATTGTATTAGGGGGAGGGATGCAACAGAGACGACCCCCCACCCCCCAGCTGTCCTCTCCTCGTCGGCTGGCTCCACACCTCTTCCACCTCCCTCGGAACAACAGGAAAACTCAGGAGAATCTCTGCGGCTAAACTTGACCCATGCCCGGAGGATGAGGAAACACTCCTGACATCACTGCGTACACAGTGTGTAAGCCAAAAATAATTTTCCTCTCCAAGAAAACCTGCAGCCCCTGAGCAAATCTGGCCCCTGGGGAAGGTCTTGCACACAAACAAGGCAGGGGTGGACCGGAATAGGAGCTAAATCTTCACTGTGCCACTTCCTCCAAAAAAAAGAGAAGCTCTCACACCAGTGTGTTATCTTGTAGAAGCAAATGCAGCCATGCCACAAACAGTGGTACATCTTTTTTCTGTGTTGGAGGCCTGTACAATTAGTTTTTGAATCATTTAAGAATATTGTTACTTCTGCTTATGTATTGAGGCAACAAGCTGGTTGTTCTGGCTTTCACAAACTGTTTTTAGCACTGAACATCGAGTCTTTCTTCGGCAACATGCCTGGATGTCCTGCTGTGTCAAGTCTTGAGCCTCCCTTTGAGATTCATTTCTTCTCTTCATCTGTTGCCTCATCTATTTAAATGACAGGGGCTCACTCATGACATGTCCCTTCATCTTCTCTAGGAGGGAGACACATGGATGGATGGATACATGCCTAGACTACTGTGAGCTGCCACCTAACAGGAGGTGTGTGGGCGAATCTGCCCATCTCCGCTTTTAGAAACAGTATTATTTGCTTCTTCTGGGGCAGATATGACTGGTTTCCTTGCAGGCACATGTGACCATTCCTCCACAAACAATAAAAAAGGCGGATATCTCAGCCAGCAGACTGGCGGCCCTTCCTGCTCTTGAGCACGGATTCCGCTGTTATTGTGCGACTCTTCTGACCTGCAGGTCACTGAAAGTCTAGTCCATGCTGGAGTCACCAATAACTTTTCTGAAGGGATGTTTATCCTATCGGATGTGAATTTTAGAATAGAGAAGTAATACGTCAAGCATCAGCCCTCGTCTAAGCTACCCCAAATGAATTAAGCATGCTCTACCAACATGTTGAATTAAAATCTGTTATTGTGTATTTTTCAAAAGACAGTGATTCATACTGAGTTAGTTGACAATTGTTTAAAAGCTGTCAATGTTGTAAAGGCTGCATCTCAAACTCATATGCACATCTGTGGGCTTGCTATTGCCATAAACTGATTCAAAGTTTTACACTGGGAATACAGACTAACAGATCTCTATAGTAGTATATAAGCATGCCCAGTGGTCTAGAGGAAATGAGTCTGACCACATCCCCTTAGGTTTAGCCTACAACCTCCAACAACCACCTGCATAAAATCAGACAACAGAAGCAAAATCTGCAATGTATTTCCCAAACAAATTTATTTGATATTTAGATACAAGATGTAGACTTAATGAACAAAAAGATCTACAGAAAGGCACAAAATGTCATACATTCACTACCATGTAGCCCTGAATTTCAAAAGCTGATCAGAAACATTTAAAAGCGAGTCGCAGTTTAGAAATGAAAGAGTTGTAGATTTAATAAATTACGATTAGACTGTACAGTTGCTTTGTGAATACTTCCTCTCCCCCATATAACTGTCTTGACAATTAGTAAACAATTGATTTAGGTTGTTCAATTTAAGTCTCAGGCTTTTCTATTCAACAGACAGCAGGAATCATTCAAAATGTACTTGGAAACATCGATTACACTGAAGACCAATTGTTTTCGCTCTTTGAGACGTACGCATACAATCCCAGTACAGTAACAAAAAGCAACTGGCTGTCTCATATACTACCATAAATGGAAAAGGCAACCGTATATTACAACCACGTGTCCCACAGAAAAGAATATGGTATAATGAAAAGAAGTCAACTGTAGAGGGCAACTGATGAGCAACAATATCAAAAATATCCTTGTGTCCAACTGTTCACCTGAGAAGATTTTGTTGTAATAAAAATTATGCCTCAGATAATGGCTTCCTAATTTTCCTATTACACCAGATCACCATTTCTGAATCAATGTAAACATATCAGAAATCCATGCACACTCTTTGGACAAGCTAATAACCCATTACAGAGGAAGTGATCACATTCCCCTCATACAGTTTACAGGAAATAAAAACATTAGGATCTTTGAACCCAGAGTATTTCATTACATTTATGTGTTGAAAGGAAACATCTATAAAAACAAATAGACTTTGACACACCACAGAAAGATCAAATGAGGAAACCACTTGTGCTATATACTGTAAGCAACACTAGTGATGATCAACACTGCAGGCCAGTGCCACATGATTCTGAAACCTAAGTGGGAGAAAGTGCACCGTGGAACTGAAAAGTCTAATGTCATTAATGAGGCATATCCATCCAACGGCTGATCTGAGGCAAAGACGTAAATCTGCAGCCGTTTGCAGCAACAATAGTGTACAGGCCAGTCTGGCTGCAACTTACACATTTGTTTTGCTTGCTGAAGGAATTGCACTTGCTCACGTGCTGCAACACATACCAGGAAACATAAAAAGGGAATAACAGACAATTCCCTGAAGAAAATAAAGAGTCATCACAAACAACTTTGCTCATAAAGCTCTGTGTGCCATGATTTACTCCTAACAAGTAGCAGCTAATAGCTGGTGCTAAGCTCTAGGTGTTAGGAACATTGCCAGTCAGAAACAAAAGGAGGTAGCTAGAGCAATAGCTGGCAGCAGAGGTACAATAGGTATAACGGTCGAGAGATTAAGGCAAATGGTGTGTGGTGCTGGTGTCCACTGGGCACTGGTAAGGCTGCTATGGAGCTGTAAACACACCTAGAATGAAGCTGAAGAAGAGGCCTTTTAGAAAGGGTGTACCTCGGATAACCACAAGAGTGAGACAGGCCTCAAGGGTGGGCTGGGTGAGGTGCGGCGAGTTGCACGGTGCAGTTTGGCTTGTGACAGAGGCTGGAGGGGTGTAGCACCATCTGTGGCTGTTTTTCAGTGCAGTTTTTCTCTGGGGACATCTGTTAGGAAGGTGAATGCTGTGTTGAATGTTACGTGTGAATGTCTACAGAAAGGGGGGGGGGGGGGGCGATCAGTGAGAGCTGTAAACACTTCCAAAGTAACATCCTTTAGCTGAACGAGCTTGCATGGATCTGCCCAACTTGCGCTTTTAAAGAGATCAGTCACCGCAAAGGCATCCACACCTGTGTGTGTGTGTGTGTGTGTGTGTGTGTGTGAGACAATGAATTCACATGTTTATCTTCATGTGCACGATGTATATGTGTTAAGTGTGTGTGTGCGTGTGTGTGTGTGTGTGTGTGTGTGTGTGTGTGTGTGTATAGGGGGGGGGGGTTATTAAATCTGTGTGTGAGAGAATACCTGTACGGGCATGATTGTCAGTGTTAATAAGATGCAGTGCTTTGGGTGAGGTGGGGATTACAATGGGCCAAGGCGCCAAGGGTGTTAGTAATCTCTTAATGGAGGCTGTGGCAGGAAGGAACATGAGTATGACAAACAGACAGACTCATGCTGGGGAATGCAAACCACTGAGCCAGTGTGTACAGTTAAAACCAAGGAGGAGACAAAGAGAGGTCAGACGGGGCATCATCTTGAGAGGAATGTTTTGGAGACAACTTTAACAAACAAGGAAAATCAAAATAAAACAGGGGACATATTTGGTCCAACACCTGCCACTGTGGAATCAAGCCGAGGAATTTGCTTTTGTAAAAATGCATCTCTACTGCAAGCAGCTCCTCTTCATATCTCTCCAGGGGGCTAGGTCTTGTCAATAACATGATGCTGATAGCTGGCCTTCCTCTGCCCAGGAGATCAAAGTTAACCAGAGTCTTATCAGCTAGGATCGTGTTGGTTTCTAGAAATCAATTCCTCAGTGTATAGAATGTCTATGATTGGGTGCAAGTCAGGGATCCGCTCTATTGATTGCAGGTAGCAGAGTCCCCCCCCCCCACCTCCACAGCCTGAATCAGTTCAGGTAAAAAAGCGGCACCAAAGGAGCCCTCTTAGCGGTCTCCATTGCTGGGTGTTTTAAATCCTTTGCCTTTTCATTCGTCTGCAGCACTGGTTCCTCGTATTTCACCCTGTTTGCGAAGCTGTGGGGAAACAGAGGAAAATAAACACCACGTTAGATCTATGTAAGCTAAACAGGTGGGAGCAAGTTGAATTCAGCGGAACCCTTCATAAATGGTTGCTGGTTACTGCACACAGGTTTAGACTCATTTTATCCATTATGTATGACTTTGGGTTTTACCTGCACTAGAAACCATTAAAAATACAATAAATGTCGTTTGGCAAACTGAAATCTTTAGCCTTTGCTTAAAAACCTGCTCCAACAGTCCCTATCAAGCCCCTTGTTTGTCTTCTAGGTAGATAAGAGCATCACTTTCAAATTCTTCCACTCTGAGGCTGATGGCTTTGGAAAGTCAATTAGTGTTAGAATCTGATAGCCGAACACCTTAATGGAACAGTTCAAACCAACAGTGGCTCTAAACAGACGAATGGACAGATCTGATGAAAAGGCATGAGGATTCAACCTCCCACTTCTCCATCCTTTTCCCCATCCTCCCTCCCTTTTTTCTCAATCACAGCACAGACTTCTTCTCAACTGCAGAATTCCATTTGTATGTTAATGAGGAAAAAGGAGCCATCTTGAAGCCAACCCCCCTCCCCTTTCTTGCCCTTTGCTTCTCTCATGCCTCCCTCTTCTAAACCAACAGCACCTGACGAGTGTACACAGAAACAATGTAGTACACCAGTGTAGTCTTGCCAGGAACCTGAATGGCAGTGTCTGTACACAGGTTTTTGCCACCATCCCACCTGCAGTGCATACAGTCTAACTGTGACCCTACTAACCCTTGAGCCTATAGGTTCAGGCCTTGTTGGGCTCCTCGCCACAGCCCTCTTTGATGGCACCCGCGTGTTTACTTACTCCAAGGGAAAATGGGAAACACATGCTGAATTGGGCGAGATTTGTGCGGAAGGGGGGCTATGCACAAAATGCTGTATGTTGGTAGTAAGCCAGGAATGTTTGAGTCTGGCCCACTTTGGCCAGTCCAGCCCGGATTCCTCCCTATTTCTCCTTGTACGGCCAAAGCTCCCAGACTGATATTTAGAGTAGTTCCAAGAGCAAACCAGAGGCAAGGTTTTACAGAAAATGTGATTCACAGACTGTGATTTAAAACTGTTTTTCTTCTCTGCCTTGTATTCCTCTAGGCTCTAGTTTGCAGGTACTAGCCTTGAGCAGGCCTTCTGTGTATGCTTTTAACTGCTGGCCACCTCTTAAAAAATAGCATGTGTGATTCTGAGAAAAGTTTGCCCAGATGTCTGGATATATCCAAAGGACAAGGCACTTGCATACATGGTCATGCAAACCGTGGTATGAGATTTTCACAGGGTCAGCAAAACACCTAACGATTTAGCACATGTCATATTTTTCTGAAATCTGGTGCTATTGATTAACTAATTCAGAGTGTTATGCAGTTGCACGTGAAAGCGCACACACACACACACACACACACACGCACAATTAAACACAGTGGACTAAAAGCCCTTTTACAACACCAAAGAGTATAGAGTGAAAGCAACAGAGGCGTGCAGCATCACAGAAACCCCACAGGGAGCAGAGAAAGCATCTTACAGACTGACCTCTACTAGTGAGAACTTACACAGCAAAACTCAGACCTACACCTGGCCTGGCTACTCGTCTGCAGCCTTTGTACCTCGCACAGACCCCTGCTTACGCATCTGGACAAAAATGAAAATACAGTAAATCACAGAAAAGACAGAAAGGGATTAGGAAGCCTGTGCGGGCAGCTAGCACTAGGAGACCAGTGACATTTTTTTATAAAAAGTTTGTTTCTTTCAGTCAATTATGCATCCCAAAATTGTGTTGCACTGTTAAATGTCAAGAGAAAAAACATGCTAAATTGTTATGTTACTCTTTGGGATGCCAGTGATACAGTGGTGTTAATCAGGAAATCGGCCGATGTCGATGTCAATATCCTTCTCTTCCGTTTTAATATTCTGAATACTCCATATTTCATCAGGGCAGTAGTTATTGTGATCAGGATATAAGAAAGCACACAAAAGCACATGATAGATGTTTTAGAACAACTCACTTACATACAAAGTATGAAAAAAATAAATAAATTAAGAAGAAATGATAAAATATTACATAAAAAGTTACGGTTTAAAACAAACTCCAAACATTTATAAAAAAATTAGAAGGTACAATTTCAATGGGCAACACATCTGTGGGAACAAATGCAGTGGGGAAAATGGCAAAATTAATATGATCACCATAAAATGGCAAACTCAAGCATGAAGCTCAGAAATTAAATGGTTGAAAGAAAGTGTCTTAATTGACTTAAAAACAGGATTAAGACCCAAAAATTCTTCCTCCTGGCTTCCTGTTATCACACTAGCACACAAGTCTATTCAACTTATCTAATGTCTAGTGACTGGATCCAGTGAATGCACGAGGTCTACTTTTAATTATGGGTCATTTTTAGTTCTGCACCTACCTCATCCAGCTCCCTCTGTGTCTCTGCCTCCATCCGCCGGATATCATCCATAGTCAGCTCCACCCACTTATCAATCCAACAGAAGAGCTGGCGATGGAAGTTAGTGAAGATCCTCTTCTCTTGCTGAAGGAGACAGAGGTAGTGTTGGTTATGGCTGGGTGATATGGTTGAAATCAACATCACAATATTAAGAGAAGTATTTTAGTATTAAAATATGTATATTCACAGGGTTTCCACAGGTTTCACCTAGTCAAATTTAAGACTGACATCACCACATCAAAAAAAGAAACGTACAAAAGGAAATGCAGTCACAAAATTACTTGCAGAGTAAATAAATGTATTCAAGGGTTGGATGATGTCTACAACGTAACACCGGGATGGACGATGACACTGATAAGCTACGTAATTAACAAGCTGGCATGCGGTGCACCTACTGAAAAAGGATCACGGGTGGAAATATCCAGAAAAAAAGACGAGTTCTGTGTCTTTTCAGCGACTTTATAAAACATAACCTACTGCTAATGGAGAAACTCAGGGGAGCAGACAGGGAGAGGAAGACAGAAAGGCGGGGAAAGTTGGTGTGTGTGTGAGTGAGTGCAGGGAGAAGAGAAGCCAAGGCAGGTGCACAGTAGGTACATTTATAAATAATAAAAATAATGTCCATGGGGATTAAAACATGCTTTCACAGGGCGGTATAATGCAAAAAATGAAGGTGGTATTTTTGTGTTTTGTGTGGTTTGGTGGTCATCCCCCAAGAAAACTTTTTTTGTTTTCCAAAAAGGAAATTTCAGATAATTTTAGAACAGTGTTATTGCCATATCTGTGAATAATAAGTAGGAAAATCTAGAGCAGATTTTAAATAAACTACACCCAAAAGCTAAACTTGCTAAATAAGTCTACAGGGTTTGAATTATGACCATTAGATCTGGGAAAAAGTTTTGATGCTCTCCACAATGATTTTACATTCAAGGCACAGCATCAAGCTGTTTTGAGCCTCAACACCTTAAAACGACCTCAGAATCATTACAGATAGGATTATTCATGTTTGTCTTTTGTGTCTTAATTTACTGCTTTATACATTTGTAGAAATTAAAAAATAGGCAACCCGAGAACCACCTCCCTTCTGTCTTATTACAAGCATTTCATTTGTACATTAAAATCAAAAAGAATAATCTCCTCATTTTCTTGAAAGGACTAGCTTGCATCCCTAATTTGCTTTAACATTACTAACCTCAGCTCCTCCATGGTCAACACTGTCCTTTCTTTTTAATTTCACTATCAAGATGTACGGTAGAGGACAGAGCTGTAACCCGACAACTTCATGCTGATCTTATATTCCGCTAACTTTCATTGTCACTTTCTGCCGCTCTCTCCCTCTCACATTCGCTCAACCTTTGAAGAATGAGGAGAGGGAGACAGCCATTCGTTGAGTGATTCCGAAATTTATTAATGATCGTGTGAAATTTTAGTAGCAGCGCTCATTCATTACGTAGTGACAGTAGGCTTCAAATACGTTGCTTACAACTGGTTTTAACCAAGCCCTAAGCTCTGTTTCTTTCAGGTAACAGTTGCTTAGGTTGTACTTCCGCACAGCTGAAGAATAAATCCGTTACAATCTGAAAGACACTTGCTGCAATAAAACTAAAGCTACACGTTGGTCTTCAAATTATATTTGGACTAACGACAGAAGAACACATTCTAAAGCGCTGCGAGAGCAATTCAATGAACATCAGAGGTAACGTTACATGGACGTTGGAAAATTAAGACCTCTTTAAAATTATTTAAGACCTAGAACACCAACTTCAGAGAATTTAAGACACCACAGAAACCCTGATTCACAATATGGAAAATGTATGGAACATTACATTACAGTAAACACATGTTTAATGCACTGAACTGTGACAAAAAACTCTTCACCCCCAAAATTAAATAACTCATTTGAAAATTGGCTTGTAATCACTAAATATTTACAAAACCGCAATATCATGATACATTTGCACTAGACGCCAAAAAACAACAGTACTGAATTACCACACAGCAAAAGGCTTCTGCAAACTGGAACTCTCAGAGCCTGAATACAACTTTTGAGCCAAGATAACACACTGTGTGATGTTAAACCACTCTAACCTCATGGATGAAGTTCTCCACTTTGTTCTGCAGGCCCCACCACTTGAACTTGACTGTGACCAGTTTGTAGGCACACATCCTTGGGCAGTCCGTCTTACTAACCAGCTCTTTCTGTTAGGAGAAGAACAGCAAAAGAATGACAACACTTTTTAACACTTATAGAGCTTTAAAAAGTGATGTGTATCAGAATAATAAAGGAAAAACTTAACAGAAACTTTCCAATGAAAGAATCCTCGTAAAAACAGCAGAAGGCTGAAAGAATATAATTTTAGACTAATCTTGGCTGCATTCAAAGCTAAAAATCATTAATACATAATGCTTTGGGTATGGAGCTTGCTGAAATAATTATCAATATGAAGATGTGCTGTGCACAGATAAAAGTGCCCTAATCTACAACACACTTTCTAAATCCATCCGCTGCTTGCACTCTGCCTCCCTCTGAAGAAAAGAAGAAAAGGAGGAGGGGGTTGGGGCAGAGCAAAGTGGATAAACTCCAGATGAAGGGACCATTTCTCTGCCTCCGCCCTGACAGCGACACCGTTCCCGACAGGCATGCCTTTGTGGCCACGGAAGGCAGATAAAACGGTGCTCGTGAAGCGATAAGGGTGTTGCGGTGCAAAGCTGGTTACATTATTAACACCTAGGACCTGCTCGCCCCCAGAACACACATACTCTCCCCTCCGAGAACACCTGTTTAATTAATCACTTCATTCTGGCTCGGCATTCCAAGAGAAAATGCCACAGACCCGCCTCAATCACCCTCATCCCACTGCCGTTTGATGCTACGATCATGGAGGAGAGCGAGGGAGGGGAAATGAGAAACATTTCTAAATTTGCAGTGGGTTTAGAAAAGTTGTCATCGCTAAAGGAGAACTTCACATGAAACGGATTCTACATCAAAACACTTACGGTGACATTTCTTCTCTCCCTCTCTGTGCCCCATTCAAAGGAGCAGAAGTTTTCAGAAATACAAAGGGTACCGATATGCAAGCATGTGTGCATGCAGAGATAGACAAGAGTTTTATTGCTCTGAGAAGCTGGCAGAAATTGTGCCTCTGTTGTCACATAACTCCCTTTTTTCACCTTTTCAAAAACAGTCTTTTTCCATGTCCACAGCGGACGGGAAAGTGATCTAATTAAAAACACAAAATAAAAAGTTGTGCGTCTTTATTCATACTTTTTAAAGCTGTTTGGCTGCCTTTGTTCTGTGAAAATTCTTGAAGCAGAGTTTCCCATGGTGAACTTTGAGGGCTCCACTGCAGAATAGAAATTCTTAGTGCTCTAACACTGAGCAGGACCCGTTTGTGAGGCTGCGGGGTACAGCGGGGTTTAGAGGGGAAAGCAACAAAACTCCTGACAAACTTTCTCTGTGTAGATCAGCTACATCTTATGGCCTTATTACTTTCTATCAAACGTACATCAGTACGTACAGAATTGCTGCTTGTCAAATTTAGAATCAGTGTCCATTCAGTCTCTTTCCCGTATCTGTCTTCGTCTTCCGTCACACACAAAGCATGGCAGGAGGGGCTCAGAGTAGAACTGTTATCTGACCTGGTGACTAGAAATTTCTATTACATCCAATTAGAGCACAGAAAGAGGAGATTTGTCTTCATCAATTTGCAGCCTTACTCTTCTGCCAACCCCACTCTAGCCTTCCTACAGCTCTGTGCTCTCCTGTACACAAAGCTATTCTGATTATTACAGGCAATGGTGCTTGTGTGGACCAAAACTCTTTAAAGTCTGTATGAAAAGAAAACGTTACAAATTCTTCTAAATTAAATAAAAACTACCATCTGATCATCAACATATTCACCCTCTTCCTGTCAAAATTAGTATTGATATCTTTGTTTCGAGTCTACAGCCATGGGTCTATGGCGCCATCTACAATATTTTGTTTTAGTTTAAAAACGAACGAACCAAATACGATCTCTGTCCACACCAGCGTTTTAGAGTTGATCTCAGTCTACATTAAAACGACTGAAAACACACATCTGGTGGCCATTCACTTACACTGGGCATGCGCGTGCTGGTGAAACATGAAGCAGATGGTCTCTTCCGTAGTTACAGAAGATTTGGTGAAAGAATAAAGTAATGCAGACGAAGAATCAGACCAGATTTTTTGGTGGACCAATAACGAGCTTGGACTGGTACTGAATGTAACATGGGAGTGTGGCAGCAGAAAACAGACTGCGAGTCGTCGCAAAGTAAAGCGACATGTACAGTACAAGTGTAGGCAGATAAGTGTTATTTGCATGGTACAGAATATTTTAATAAAAATACCATGTCAAAAACTCTGTCAGTAGCATCGTATTTCTGCTTTGCATGACTTATAAGACCCAATCAGAGAGCCTAGCGTGAGTGTCATCGTTTCTGAAGTCCTCCGTTTTTGACCGTCCCCACTAAATCGCCCTCCGGAGTTTCAAGAAGAAAAACGGGGTCGGCAGCGTTTTCAAAGTTCTCTGTTTTAGGTCTTGGTTTTCACCGTTGTAGTCTAGAAGGGAGGTGCAAACATAGCAAAAGGCCTCCGTTTTAAAACAAAAACGCAGTAGTGTGGATGGGGCCTATGTGAACATATCTGCTTTGCATATCTGGATACTACAATTTCTCTCCATTCTTCTGCTCACACTGTCAATTTGGAAAGGGACCAAGAGAGGAAAGCAAGTTTCCAGCCACAAATTCTTGACTGGATTGAGGTCTGGACTCTGAACATTGTTGTTTTTAGGCATTTCCCGAGTTGTGTTGGCTTTATTTTTGTTGTCTTGCTGGAAAATAAATCTTCTGCAGCAGGTTTTCCTCAAGGATTTACATTCTTTTACTGCATTCCTTTTACACTCTTATCTTCACAAGTCTTCCAAGACCTGATGCAGAGGAACATCTTAACAGCATGATGCTGCCACCACACAAAAAGCTCAATCTTTGGCCTCAGACCACTGAACTTTCTTCCACTATGTTTGAGAGTCTCCCACATACTTTCTAGCAACACTGAACAGAATGTCATGCGTTTTGTTTTCAATAGTGGCTTTTTGTTTGTTGTGGGTTTCTCCAACAATTGTTGTATGTATAGTGTCAACCATCCCAGCAACAGAACCCTGTAGCTTATTCAGTTGACAAGCAGTCTGTGGGGAGCACATTCTGCTTTAGACAGATTTAAAGATGTTCCATGTTCTTTCTATTTTACTATGACCGACCTTACTTTTGTTAGTGAATTGGAAATGTTCTGTGCAGAATTATGTAAGGTCTTGCGCAACTACAGGGGGGGATATATGTGAAACGGTCTGTTGGTATACAGAGTCAAATATGGGTTGAATCTTTGTTCAGTCTCCTGTGACGTTAATTACTATTTGTGTGTGAATTTGATATATCTCATTTTCATGGTCCACAACAGAATTACCTTCCAGGTGGGTCCAAGGGGTCCTCTGCCAGTCTTAACTGACGTGAACTTGGCAGGGTCCTCATCTGGCTTGTAGTCCTACAGTGAGAAAGTTTTGCAATTAATACAATACATAGCACAATTTATTTGGTTGACACAAGCTGTTAAACAAGCTGAGCTCAAATATTTATCCATGATTACTGGAACACTGAGCTGAACTGAGCAGTAAATACGTGCTTTGTTTTATTTGGCAACAAAGGTTTTATAAATCTGCAAGTTTTGTTGATTTTATTTTCCCAAAAAGAAAGCATGTTCACATATGTTAAGATATCATTTTCAATGATACTTTCATAAAACCGAAGCCCAAAAAACGAAAGTTTCATTTCATTCAGCAGGTTACAGAATCGGTGGTGTGCTTGCCCTACACTACTGTTCGCCAACTGTGCTCTAAACTAAGCGGCACAGCAGTCTCTGCCACTGAAAGGCCAAAGAGTACCGCACTCATTCTCCAAAACCCGCCACCCCCCCCGGAGATAAGGTCATGCAGCAAGACCAGGGCACAACTCAGCCTTAAGTGGCTCAGAGATAAAAGACTGTCTATGGGGCGTTGAAGCCACTAGCAACATCTGTTTAATTAGGGTGATATTGGTGCCAGTTCATATGAGTAAATGTGCTCTTCAGTGTTACACAATGTGTGTGTGTGTGTGCGCACCTAAGTATAGTTGCTCTAACTGCGACAGCACTCCCTACTATATAATATCTATCTATCTATCTATTTATCAGATCTTGGTCCCATGGCAAAAAGGTTTTTAAAGCATACAGTAAAGTACTGAGCGACAGTGGGCACATTAGCCAAGCACATGACAAACATAACAAAGTTGACTTCATAAAACAAGCAAGAGAAATAGTAATACAAATAAATGAAATGGCTTTCAAATGATCAACAGCTCAAGGGCCCAGCAATTTTAAATAAATCATGATGCGCCTGCAGCTAAAAACTACTTTTCAGGGCTATTGGCCAACAGGAGGGTGCCAAATGTGTGGAAAGAGATAAACCCACCCTTACACACTCACACACACAATAATTTGGCTGTTTTAATGCTGAGAGCTCCGTCACTTTAACAATACACTCTGCTGCACTAATGAGGTCTGTGAATCGATATGCCGTGGTAGACGAAAAGGAGCTACTCCTCTAGTAAAAGAGTATGTGTTCTAGTGCGAGTGTGTTTGCGTGGTGTGTGTATTCCTGCATAGGAAGCACTGTGAGCCTTAATTACACTAACAAACTCATCTGTGCTGGCGGTACGCCCCAGGCCCTGCAGCCATGCCTGAGGCTGAGGGCTGATAGGGTCCTCAGACACAACACACTCCTCTAGCAAGGCAAACACCTCCGCCTCGTTAACTACCCACCGCAAACAAACACGTACACACACACAGAAACCAATGCTTCTCAACCAAATAGCCACACATATGCACGCAGAGCCAGAGTGAAATGAGGCAATGTGATGTCATACAACAGCAATGATGGGTAACATTTTCAAATAAGATTTCCGAGATTCCAAGCGGAGTATTAAAAACTCTTTGAAATAATATTGAAGCAATCTTGGGATGCTTCAATATGCTTAGGATGTGTGTGTAGTTTGTAAAGATTTGAAGTTGGCGAGGCTCGTGTCAAATGGAGGCCAAATGTCAGTTAATTCTCATTTAATCAAAACATAATGTCTAAATGATTAAATCAAATCATCTCATGGGATTTTCTGTGAGACAGTTCTTGCCATCCACTCAGGCAGAAAGGTGTGTGTGTGTTTCATAGTATTTCATCTACTGGTAATACAGTTTACTAAAATATATTTCCAGCCTTCATTCCACTACAACGTTTCCACTAGATACAAGAAGTACCTAAAAGTTCCAGCATTGTTCAATGAGTGGGTTTAACGGCGAGATAAACATTATTCCACATTGCTTAGCAAGTTTGTTTTGCTTACTTCTTTTTTGTTCTAGTGCAGCAAAAGGTGGAAAGTAGGGCTGGAACAATTAATCAATAAATCAACAGTGTATTAATCAACAACAATTTAAAATAATGCCAATGTGTCAAATAAAAATGACAAACAACGGTAGCTTTCCAAATTGATGATTTGCAGATTTGTCCATTTCAAATCATAAATAAAATCTTACATACAGAAAACTACTACTACAAATTACTACTACAACAAACTTGCTACATTCCAACAAAAACAACTGATCAACACAGCCATAATTGAATGCTGATCTGTACAATACACACAATTTCACATGTGACAATATTTATATAACACTGAAATGAAGGTTCCTGTGTCTGTAACGAAAATTACCTTTTCCAAATATGCTCAAAAGTAAATGAAACAAGATTACTGCTCATCAAAAATAAATGAGTAACTCTCATTTGAACATTTCTCATGTAAAGGAGATTGGGTTTGGCAAATAGCTTGGTAGTGATCAGGCTTGTCCTCATGAAGGCGCCAAACTGTGTTTTTAATCTTGCACTGGAAATGTGCCAGAAGAGTTTCTACTTACAGTAGCGGACACTTGACTTCTGTCTGCAATGTCAATGGGCACAACAGTTACATCCTGCCATGTGGAACTGTCTAGTTTGTGCACCTGAACAACCAAACAAAACAAATGTGTTGGCAGAGCATATACACTAAAATCTGATGTTCAAACTGGGTATTTGCTCGATAAGATGCAGAAGCGCTCACATTTTCTTGTGTTCCAAGGTCTGGTTTGTGCCATGTCTCAATCTTAATGAAGAAACTGTCTTTCATATACTCGTTCTAGAAGGAGGAATCAGGTTAGGGTTGCATATTTCAGAATTAAAAGTATAGAATATCATTTGAGTATACTGATATATATATATATATATATATATATATATATATATATACATACATACATACACACACACACACCTTAAACTTAGTTAAAAGAAATATATTTAGCCAATTTAAGAAATACAACAAGACAAAAGCCATTTAAGGCTACCTACCGTCACAACTGGATCAAGGTTAGCAATGAGGAAAAAAGGGGGGAGAGAAACATCATTACATGTACATATATAATAAAAACATGATGCAAGTAGCACAAGTGTATTTAACCATGACTATGAGTTTCAGGGTAAAGCAAAGAAAAAGTGATATGGTGATATGGGGACTCACTGGTTCTGCAGTAAGGGTAGGCATTCCAGGCCTTTTCATGGAATACCAGGGCGCCTTCAGGGGCCAACAGCTTCACAAACCCTGGGACTTTACTGTAGGGTGGGAAAAGAGGGTGGGGATAGGTAGAGTGGAGAAAGAAAAAAGGAGGACATACCAGGTTCTAGAGGTATGATTGTGCAGGTGGAAAATTAACAACTTGAAGGGCCTTACAACAAAGATAAGACAACGCTGCCACTGCCTGGCAGCATGGTGCTATTACAATGTAAGAAGGCAATCAAATAGTCTGATTAAAAAAGGTTAAAAAACAAAAACAAAAATACATACCTCTTCAGGTGGTAGATTTTGTGTGTATACTGTCCCTTCTCGCCGTCTTTTTCATAGGGCTCATTCTTGAGTACCTCAATGCCTTCACCACCACCTGTCTCATTTTTACTTGCTTCAGCTACTGAGAAGAGCTGCCCCACTTGGTACTGTAATACAAAAGCACATCAATCACTTACACCCAGAAATTAAACTAAGCTGGTCTAAACTAACTTGCTGATGCTCAAGATTCAATGAGGTATACATATGGGCATGTGTCCTGATTTTTTTTAAATATGGGCCAAATAAAAAACAGCTATAAATGGCATTTGTATTTCAAATACTTGAAAATGCAAGTATTATAGGTACGTGTGTATCGTAAACCAGAATTACTATCCATGTTAATTATGTCAATTGGCTAGTGTTGTGTTTTTAAAACGACTACCTCATCACAGCCTATAGTCTTCAGTTACGTTTCCTTTTCATAAGGTTTCATTTCAAGGATTTTTTTAGAGGCCTGAGGAGGTCAAAGTATGCAGTGTTGTACAAGAAAAAGCAAAAATTATAGAAAAGTCAGAGGAAAATAAGCTTGTGTCAAAGCTGTGGAGTGGGAACAAGGGTCTTTCCAATCAAAATACAATGAAGAGCAGCCCTAATCTGGACAATCTACTTGTATTTTCAACTTTAAAGCTGTCCCAAACGCTGCAGGCGAAATTAACCAGTTTAATCTCATGTTATGAATTTGAACAACAGAGAGGTGGATGTTTGCAAATAGTTCACCTACCAGAGCTCTTATTAGTGTTTCTCCCTTTGTGAGAACAGTTATTTTTCCATTATTTGGAAAGAGCTTTGAAATGTGGCACTAATTGCCAAGAGATTGTATCACCATATAAGGCAGCGGGGTGAGAGTCTGGGATTCATGACATAAACCTTTATAAACACAAGAAACAAATCCTGCTCTTGTAAAACAATCACAAGAATTACAAATTATGCTTTTTTGGATCAGACTATGTTGCCTTAACTTGCGAGCAGAAGCTGAACACTGGAAATGTTGAAAGATAGCAGTGCATTAATTTTTCACTGCCTCTACTCTTTGTGAGGATAAGGCAATTATTTTTAAGCATTACAGAGACTTGTTGTAATTCCTATAAACCACCACTCTGTGACACAGTTTAAGCCCAAATAAGGGATTTAGGTCCTACTGCATGTGAGACTAATAGAAAAAAATTAATTGGGCTGCAAGAGTAAAAGGTCGGTCAATACTAATGTGGAACAGAAACACATGAAATAATGATTGAACAAACACATTTAAATATATTTCTTTCTTTAAAAGAGACTGCAGATCAGTTTTAAGGCTACAATAGAAATGCCGGTGAGGAGAAAAAGGCCAGTATTTCACATCCTCTGCACTTACTGGCTTATATGACTTCTGTCACTACCCTTGAGCTTAGTTTTCGGTCATTTATAATGAGAAAAGACGTAGCTGAAAAGTACACAAGATTAGGTAATAAATATAATAAAAAACAAATAAGCTATTCATATTGTCAATATAGTAATAAGGGAGACTGAAACTGATTACTCACCTCCTCAACACTACAGGGTAAAACCACACGACTGCAAAAAGAGAGAGAAGTGTGGTAACATTCACACAAAACTTGTTTCTTAAAGACACTGTTCAATAACCATTCTGCAACTACAATTTTAATTTAAAGTGAACAACGAGCTTAAGTAGGTTAAACTATGCTAAATTAAAGTGATAAAAACACACAATTCTATTAAATGTGCTTACTTTGGACCATGGTCCAAAATGTATAACACATTCAGATTTATTAAAAATTTATCAAATCTCCACACATATGTACCAAAGTGAACCACTGCAGAAGAAGCAGTAATAATGTCATGTCACGCTATTATATTATAGCATTACAAATAACCTCCACCATGCACAGAGGCCTTCTCACTGCTGAAGAAGAGGAAGTCAGTTGTGGTCACTCTTCCTGGAGGTGAAAACTATTTCTGCACAGTTCGACACGTTGCGGACTTTAGCAAGATGAGGAACCACTAATGGACCAAAGTGGAATATTTAGAGCAGCGCAAAGCTGAGATTGGATATGGTCAAGAGATGAGGAAAACTCCAATTAAAATGGGGTGAGAGAGGAAAGGAGCAATGCAAAATGTCAGCGGTGACCCATTTTGGACCAAAAACTTTTAAAGACATCAAATGTGCAGCACAGATCTGTGATATAAGATACAGCTGTTTGAAAAAGAAAGAATAATTGAATCTTAAGATATGAAAACGTTAACAGTATTTACTTTTTGCATGGTTAAAGCATACTGCTACTTTTTTCTCCATACCTCAACAGACTTCCACTTCAGGGCGTGGCATGCTGTGGCCAAAGCAATTGCATAATTTACCCCTGACGATCATGAGGTTTCAGTCAATGACCACTAACCACACAGTGCAAAAGAAAAAAGTGGGCAGAGGAAATTCTCTCAAAGCATAAATCTAAAGCAAGGCTGTATTCTACGCTGAATATAAGCACTTGGTGCATCATTTTTTGTTTTATTTTTTCTGACTGCACTTTTTTCTACCCATATGCTCTTGGATGTTGATGATGAGCTTTCCAGAATCAAAGCTACTCTATTAACTTGTGTTAATCTTCACCCAGTGACGGAGTATACTTTATCTTCTCCAGGCTGCTATCACAAGGCCAAAGCAAGGCTTTTTGATGAGTGATGTTGATTTTCAACAGTCATGGGCACTAGGCACATCATGATGGTTTTCATTATGGCAACTTTGAAAAATGAACTGGACCGGAGCACAGTGAGTAAGTGAGGAGTATTGTTTGTATTTTAAAGGATGCATGGCATTTACTACAGCCCTTCAGAAGACCAGTACATGGATGTAGACATAATCTGACTTCACCATGTACAGATGGTGAGTGATCCCTTGTATTAGTGCAGGCTGTGCTAATTTCTGAAAGCCAACAACATGGAAAACACCATGATAAAGAGTTAACCCTAACGACACAGCCAGTAATGTAATTAACATTAGTTAAGTCGTGGGTTAGCAAACTGTGGCTACAGTTGCTGCTGCGAAGCTAATATGTAGAGAGGATTAGATGGTTCCAGAGCAAGCACAAAAGCTTTGTGGGCAAGTAACTGAATGTTACTTGTCACACAAATCATGGCTGGAACCGCTGGAATAGTGTTGTTTGGATGTAAATGTTGAAAAAACACTAGTGGCCCACACCCCACTTGTTTTTTCCCCAACATGTACATATTCTGTGTACAAACACCTGATTTTCTTCAGTGCACTGCACACACAAAAGAGGCAGCTAGCTAATCAGGAGGAGATATTCACTGAATTTGACAAAAAGATGTTTATTGGATTAGAATTGTTTACCCCGCCTTTAAGGACATGCAGTTGGGACTGGTGGATCAATACAGCGGGATCACTACTCAAAAGCTACTCACAGTCTTCTGCGTCAAACATGTCAGAGAATGGTAAAAAAGAAAAGTGTGGTGCTACTTTAAGAAAGATTGAGAAATGTTTAAGAAAGTGAAAATGTGAACATGTTTTATGTTGTTGATATTTTAAATTTTTTTATTCTTATGCTTTATTATTAATAATATCTATTTTTATAATTATTTATGTTCTCATTTAATTGTACTTGTATTTCCTTTGTAATACATTTGTTATAAAGGGTCATTATGTGTCATTAGATTGATTTTTAAGTGTGATGATCTTTTTTTTTCTTCTAAAAAATTACCAATGATCTGTATTGGTATAGTTAAAATTGTAACAAAAAGTATCTGTAACACTGAATTTTATTGTATGCCCTTTCCTAACATGCAGTGCCTTAAATGTAATGCTGTGTAAAATGCATGGAATAAGACACTATGGTAACATCGTTTTACATAACTCTAATCTGTATGAAATACAATTAAAGGCAAAAATCAAACCTGGAACTTCTTTTAAAACTTTATTGATCTGCTTAATAAAGTTTGCTGGTATTTGTCTATATTACATTTTTGAGTTCAGGCTTTGCTTAAACTCTTTGTATTACACTAACTTCTAATCTGATTTGTTAGACTGATGGCATGCTCCTATGCTACAATATTTAAGATTATGGTTTTAAATTAGATAATTTCATTTGATCTGGAGAAAATGAACAGAAATTTAAATCTCACATTAAAAGACAGCGTGTTGGTCAAAGACACAGTAAATGGAAATGATGGGTCCAGCACCTACTCGCGATGAAAACACCAATAAGATTATGATGGTGGCTATGATAAGATGGGAAGAGTCACTTCAAATAGACGTCCTTCCTTGACAGAAAGGCGCACATTAATTTACTAATGAAGCCCAAGTCCAAAACTAGCATCCTTACACTCCCGATATATCTACGTTAATAGATAACTTACTGCCGTGGCTGGCATCTATTACTTACACATTCAGATGACAGCTTTAATGTCAACATGTCATCTTCATACCACAGGTAGCTAACAGCTAGCTAGCATAAAGTTAACCGAAACACTAAGTTACCGCTAGCAAGCTAGTTTACTGAAGTAGCTGTGTTTGACACAAGAGAGCAACCAGCTATTCGCCTGTTAATCAAAGTCTCTTATCTTGGGTAAGATTAGATGGCGTTGCCACGAGTTTAACTGTCAATGTAGCAAAGATAACATTAGCAGCGCTAGGTGATTTCCCATTCATGTTATATCGTCAGGGTTAGCTAGCATTAGCAAATCGTGAGCTAGTTCGTAGCGCAAGTTAACTTTAGATTCCGCGACGCTTATCTTTTAAACGCATAACGTGTTTAAAAGCTAACTACTTAACGTGAACATATGAGAAAGTGTAGGATAACATCAGCTGTCACACACAGCGCCGTACCGCTGTCAAAGCCGGTAGGCCAGAACTACTCTTGAGCAATCCCACCCTTCCCTCGCGTGTCTCACTCAGGCAACTGAGACAAGATGAAAAGTTTTCATTAGTGTCCAACCAGCCAAGCAACTGCCCTGGCAAACCGAACCCGTTAATAAAGGATGCAACGGTTTCAAAAAGGTCAATAAAAAACGGTTTGGACAGGAAAATCGGACTTACTACTCTTTGATGACGACCATGGTAGCTTGTTCCTCTCGACACTAGCGTTACTGCCCAGTGACCGCTGATTGCTGCTGACGTCATGAGCTGCTGAGCTCGGCGCCCGGTCCCTGCCCCTGACCCCGCCCCTGACCCCGCCCCTGCCCTCCTGAACGGTGATTTGCAGAAAGAGGCATGGTCGGGCCTACTAATTAATATTAACCAATGACATATCTTTCTGGTGGCTTTTATCCCGCCTATTGTACGACTTGTCTGATCGAGCAGCACCAGTGATATAGTACACCACATTAAAACTACAACAGGAATTAAGGTGCTACATCATTTCACATTTATTTAAGAGGATATTGGGAAATTCCTTTTAAAAAAGTATTTTTTTGAGCATTCAGTGTTATTATCTGCTACACGGCCTGAAGCCCACTTGCGTGGTCTAATAATGAGGTGTTACTAGACTTGGTGCCTGGTATTAAGTGAAACTACGGTAATTTAATGTACATTTGTTGTAGCAGTGGTTCCAAACATTGTTTCTCTTTTGACCCATTAAAATGAAGCTAGGTCTACTTGTGGGACAAAACTTTAGTGTGGACATTAATTGTCAGCAGCTCCACCAAAGAGATTTTTCTCTCTCTCTCTCTCTCTCTCTCTCTCTCTCTCGCCTATATATTTCTATATCTATGCTGTTTCAATCTATTTATCTATTTACCTATATAAATAAATAAATATATTAAAAGTCATAAACATTATATATAGGTCAGGAATACAAGAAATCAAACATGATGTTTTTTATTGAAACAGTTTACTGATAAATGACAGATGGTTGTCATGAAACGTTCATGTTTAATCTCAAAAAATCATGGGCTAAAAAGTCATACATGGTACTTAACATTGAATAGCAAGAGAATCCATGCTTCAAAGCAGACACTCAATTCACAAAGAAATCAGGCAAAATGCCCTTTTGATTTCAATAAAAAATATTAAATCTTTTTTCCCCCACTCTATCCATCTTTACATGGTACAGGTTTGTTCACTTTTTAATAATATAAAAACGCTTAATACTGATTGTGAAACACCGGAATTAATTTACAAAACATAATAATAATTATTATAATATTAATAACAATAACAAAACAATAATAACAATAACCATTCAATTTAAAAACAAAAAATAGAATGGAGGAAATCAGTCATAGTTGTTGCATCTTGGCCCACATAAACAGCAAAGTTTTGGGAGAAAAATACCAAATGGCATTTACATATACCTGACACACAGTTACACACAAACACAGTATCAGGTCGTTGAGTTTTTCTCATTGCCATTTACAGTGTTATGGGCACAAAGACAAGACACTCTAAAGCATTCATGTGCCTCTGCAGGATCACGCTCACTGACCATTGAAATCCTTCTTGCTGTCAGTCAAGCTTGGTGGACCAACAGTGGTCCTAAAAAAGTGCCCCTCTCCTTCAGCACACAGGATAGTAAATGGTAGATTAAAGTATAGGACCGTTTTAAATGTCTCAGCATTTAGAGGAAGGGAAAAATCTTCCAGGCGACAGGAACTTGTATCCATTGCCAGCAGGTAGTCGGATAGAACGAGCACCAGGGCTACTGCTTGTCGAAATAGTAGGTGATGGGGCCACTTTTCTAGGGTTGGAGCAGTGGTGTCCATTGGAAGAGTTCTTGCTGCCCCTATCTAGTGACTGTAGCCCTAGCTCCCGCAGCTCCAGGCTGTCTTGAGTATCATTAGGGGAGCAACGGCGTGGAGAGAGGTTCAGAAGGCTCAGTACATCCCTACTAGCAGAAGCAAGTGGCCCAGAAGCACTGTGGACGGCTTTGACAGGACCCAGATGTTGCTGTTGCTGGGCTGCCGCAGCATTTGCCCAAAAGGTCTTCAGATTGTGGATAGCTTGGACTTTTTCATCAATGACCCCTCTTCTTAGACGGTCCAAGTCTGGGGCATCAGCAGACGTAGAGCAGGTAGAGCCTGTTGAGGAGTAGGACAGGGCAGGGGATGGAGCACTACCTGCTGGAGACTGGTGACCAGAACAGGGAGACACATTACTCGGTGAACGAGAGATATGGCCGCTGTATGGGGAGCTCGGGTACTTTAATTTGAACTGTGCATGGCTGTCCAAAGTGGGCGAAGGATGGCTGCCCTCCTTTTGGGAAGACTCAGAGACTGCAGGACTATTGTAGCCAGAGCTTATCTTCTGTAGCGAAGAGGAACGAGAGGGAGGTTTGGGTCTCGGGGAAGATTGAGCTCGGCCACTAGCACTGCTGTTAGGACGGCTGAATGCGCTAGTTTCAGAAGAGCGGAAGGCGCTGCTCCGAGCTGAGGTTCCTCCAGCTGTCCCACCGTCTGCCCCAGCGCGTTGAAGACTACCCACAGCTCGTAGATGGCTTTGAGTCTCCTCCAGAATCTTCTGGGCCAGCTCCTGAGGATCAAGAGGGACAGTTTTTTCTTCCTGAGACTTGACAGTACTGTCCGTCTCGGTGCTGGACTGGTCAGATTCACCTGTATCTGAGCTGCTCACCTTACCCACCTTCTGGAATGGTGAGTTTGGGCTGGGCACCAGGCATGTTTTGACAGGAGATGTGGGAGTGCTGACACTGCCCCTTGATGATACTGATACAGTGTAGCCTCTCCCAGCTCCTGTGCTGGACCCACCAACAACCCCCCTGCCTCCACGGTGGTGGCGCTGGCTGTGGCCTGGTGGTAGAGGCAGAGAGTCACAGTGACTTCCCAGTGGCTCGCTGCTGATAATGGAAAAGCCCTCATATTCCTCCTCATCACCCCGGGCTCCTGCTACTGCAGCAGCCGCCCCATGAGGAGAGGAACGACTACGGGGAACATGAGGGTGTTTGTGGACAGAGTAGTGTGCTGTGGCCCCACTGCGTTGCCGATGACCAAGGAAATCACACTCTGACTTGGAAGCAAAGCTCATGGAGGAGGCTACAGAGCTGAGGCTATAGACAGAGATTGCATCTGATGCCTGACTGTCCAGGCAAGGAGGAGAGAAGGGAAGGGTTGAGTATCCCATGGGCATGGGGTTGGACACAGACTGCGCTGAGGCTAGAGATTCAAGAGAAGATGAGCTGTCCAGGCTCAGACGCTTGGGCAGTTCTGTGGAGTCTGAAGAAAGAGAAGATGAAAAAAGGGGAAAATGTGACAGCTGAAAAGCACAATCTGGATGATTCCAATGTCCAGTCAAGTGACTGAAAATATTATGAGGTACAGAATGACCAATGATACAATGAGCAAATAAGTATACTAACCAAACAGCGCAAGCAGAGACTGGAGAGCAAAGTGCAAGGTGCGGCGGTTGGCTAGCTTGCCTGTCTTCAGCACCACTTCTTCTTGGCCGACCTCACATAAGTCAAATCCTGCACAGACACAAAAAAGGGCAGCAGCTGTAATTCCGAAATTTGACAATGTGTCTCTGTGAGTCCATATGGACACATGGATTGACAGTTTTCTTAGGTAACAGTTGACTCACCAAGAGCAGCTAGAAACTCATGGCATCCTGGCAGTCTCCATAGCTGTACACTAATGGAGACCTGAATGGGCAGGAGGGAGAAATCCTGTTCTTTCTCACCTGTCTGGAGTTGGACAAGCACCTGGTGGAGCTTGAGAAGAAAAGAGAGAAGATAAATAGGGGAAAGAGCACAAGAATACTATAAACTGTTGAATTCTAGTGCAGATGTGATTAATGGCTGAAATTCATTTGTGTGGTCAAAAAATTTCTATGGCGCAGAACTTAACGTGTCAAGTTTAATAGTTCCTTGCTCTAACTGAATATTTGTTTCTCTAGAGTACATCTATATGCGTTCCCTAATATAATGGCAGCCACATCTTATTGTTTAACTACTGTAAAAACATTTAGGTAGGTATGAATCTGTTTCGTAACATGTTTGAGTCCTACGTATGAGTATTCAGGACAACAGAACGTCTGCAGTGAGGCAGAGCTGAAAAGGTTTCAGCTTTGTGGGGGGTTTACAAGAGGCCTGGGAGCACACTTGCTTGTTTTGTTTGTGGATTACTTTGCTTGGAACAGAGAAACCTTTGTCAACTTGTGAATGTGCAGAAAGGAGAAAACATGCCTCTTCTCCTCACTTCACTCTTTACGATTAGTAGAGGTTTATTATTACATCATAGCTTTATCCCTTCTACCACCCTGAAACATTTCTCTGACCTGAATGAACCAGGGTTGTAAATACTCAAATACTCAAAATCCTTAAGATCGGAATTGCAATGGAACTAGCAATGGACAAAAAATATGAGCAAGACAACAGAGTAAGCGTTTTCTCATCTACACTTTATGCATGCAAATGCTAAACAGCATGAAAACAACAAAACCGATCACTAAATTGTCATGCAGCTTCTACACATGAAGGTGGTGCTTTAGAAAGTTTAGCAGGAAGAAAGTGGAGAGAGGAAGAACAGGGTAGAATGGGATGGAGTGCAGGTAGGTGAAGGCACACTTACCATTGCCACCATATTTTTAACAGCCTTCAGACAGCACGATAGGAGGAGGGGAGAGAGAATAGGCTTTTAATTGCATGCACACAGGCCATTCACAAAAGGTACAAGGGTTCGGGTCTACAAGAAGGATAACAGCAGCAAGTAACAGAAGTGTTTATTATAGTATAGAGTTTGATGTAATCAGCATACACACAGTAGGTTGAACAGATTTCATGTTCTGTGCATTGAGACCAGTATTAGCTGTATCAGCCAACAAATCACCAACTACTAACCAGATAGTATTTCACTATAAGCATGTGATTATAGCCACATATTACACACACACACACAGAGGGATAAACCTCTGCTGTGTAAGATAAATTTTCTGGTGTCACAAGCTTGAGTGCAAGAGAACAGACTCAGATTGTAATTAAAACTGCTAGTTATTCCCTATGCAGCTTTTCACTGCAGATTAAGCTGCAGCTTGAGTTGCCAATGTATTAGCCGTATCTAGTCCCGACGTAACTCAGTTATGCAATAATATATCCTTGATATTCACTTCTAGCTAGAAGCTCATGGTAGAAGGTTGTGTAAAAGTTTCAGAGAAAGTGAGAGGGACTGCCTTAATAATTTTTACCACAAAATAATAG